AACTACTTTGGTTGGTGTTGAAAAAAAGGAACTAAAACCAAGAGAAGGAAACACAAAGAGACCGACAGAAGAAAAAAAAATCACTTTCACCTGGCATGTTAAGGTGGCGGTATCGCAAACAAATCACATGAAACCATATATGGTGTGGTGAGTCGATTTGAGATAGCGTCACCTGAGTGTCGTAGTTAATGTTTATGATGTAATAATTCTGTTACAGTGTCTCGCATAGAGGTTGCAACATGCAGTAGAGTAATCTGAATAAAATGAGATAAATTCTGCAAGTAAAAATAAATAAATCAGACCATGTAAGTCATTCCCACTCGCATGATGTTCATGTGAGGCACACTCATATTTGCAGGACTTGCTCTGCAGTTCCTCCTCAAGAATGCATAGAAGTAGTTTATGACTAACTTCTTGAAGAAAAACGATTTCTTCTTTGCCCTCACATCTCCGTGCGCTAGCAAATACGTAAATCCTGAGTCCATTGCTTCTCGAAGTGCAGAGAGCTCATACTCCAGACTCGGGTCTTCATCCGATGACATCACACTGGACGGCAATGTTGCAGCGGCAGCAGTTTCTTCTGAGGTTGATCTTCCTCCTACCCCTTGTGATCTTCCATTGCGCATCAATGGAATCCTGAGTTCCTCAATCTCATTGCCTCCTGGGACTCCCGAATCCCTTGAGCTGGAAGAATCGTTGTCAAAGTCTGAGTCATTTAAATTGCTCTCCAAGGCAATCTCTTGAGCTTCCATCCTCAGAAACTTCTCCAGGCTTTCAACAAGAAGTTGTTCAAATGAATGGTGATCTTCCTTCCGGATATCTTTGTAACCGTATCGGGCTACACAGCGGAACATATGGTAGTCTTTCGGGCAAACTCTTCGAAACAGAAACCTTTGTTCCTGAGGAACCACTGGGACAGGGACATACTTAATGCAGACGAAAACTATAGTGGAGTGGATAGCTGGAAGGCTAAGAAGGAATTGCACAAAAATGGATGGGATGCCTTGGACAAGCTCACTATACAGCAATCCAATTCCCGGGACTCTCACAGTCCCTAGTGTGGAGCCAAGATCGGTCATGGAGTCCATGGATAACTTCTCCCTGACCTCGCTTCGGTACTTCAACACACTCCCATAGTTCCAAGTGTACATCACACAGAGGAAGCAAGAGGCGAAGGCAAGAGGCAGCCAGCCACCCTCTTTGGTTTTTGATAAAACCGCACACAAGTAGATAAACTCTATCGATCCAAATACGAGCGGGAAACACAAAGCCAGAAACAAGTTGGTCTGCCAAATGAGAAGCATCACAAGTGTCACCAAGGTTGTGCTCACCATCATGACACCGACTTCAGCTATTCCTGCGTGAATAAATATAATTGTATTAGCAAAATTATCAGTACACATTTATAGTTGATATATTGTTAGCTCAACTCCTGTTGGACTAATAAATCTCATATATATTGTTGTGAAGAATATAAGCACAAGATTCCTGCCTAGCGGCATATAGAATTTCATGTGATAAAATCAGAATATGAATGTTAAACCAAGTTCATTACAAATATAGGAATATCTTTGCATATCGAAAATATTATAGGAAGGAGAGGAAAAGGATAGTTCACCATATGCATTGGCAATCTCTGTGGTGCTTTGAAAGATGGAAACTACAACTATGCACATGATCATTAAAAACCAATTGATAATAGGGATGTAAATTTGGCCCATTCGCCTCTTTGAGGTGTGAACTATCTTTAGCCTTGGGAAGCATCCGAGAGCCATTGATTGCTTAACACATGAAAATGTAGCAGATATCATCGCTTGGCTGGCAATCATCGCAGCAAGGGTAGCTACCACAAAGACTGGCCAGAAAAGACTATCTGTTTGTTCACAAGATTGAGGAACTGTAAGTTTCAAACTGAGGAACCAAATAAAGAGAGATGCCCTCTACAGAACAATAAGAGTAGAGTTGAGAAGAATGGTAGCCAAGATGTTGGAAAGTGTCACCTGGCACAGAATCATAGAATATTCTAGCCGAGGAATCTGTGTGTTTCATCAGATAGGCAGCTTGGCCCATGTAAGCTAAGAGAAGGCAGGGGAACACCACAAAACTGAAGGCAACCTGCACAAGATGTATAGATTATATGATGCTTTCGATAAAATAAAATGTATGAAGCTATTCTTCAAGGGAGAGATGAAGGTATGCATTGGCCAACCTGAATGGCTCGCACAGAGAAATGTCCTAGATCAGCAAACATAGCTTCGGCTCCTGAAATAGCATAACCACATTTGGGAAGTTTTCTTTACTATAATCCATAGGAGAAGTTGAAAAAAGGAAAAACAAATGGCTCTCATTAGAAAACCTAACAGGCTTTAAAGGAAAGATATACCTGTTATGCACAGAACACAACCACCAAGAGCGTACCACGCTTCCTTATCGTTCTTCTTGAAGAAAAAATATATATAAGCAGGATTGAATGCCCTCAGGACGGTAATGTCATACTTCACTAAATTGTAGATTCCAATTGATGCCAGGCTGAAAAACCACAAAGCAAGTATTGGAGAAAACATGACACCCACTTTACCAGTCCCAAACTGCTGTATGCTGAACAATAGTAGGAGAATTACAACCGAAAGAATAACCACAGCATCTGCAATAAAGATCAATCAGATAATGGGTCATAATGTCCACAACTCATTAGTTATTATTTTTATTTTACCCTTTCAATTCCATCCCAGGTAAAAAAAATAGTTCAGTAAACAAATGAACCACAGATTCTCAATCAGACAAAGAAAAATATACTCACTTGTACCAAAACCTGGCACTTCACCTTGCAGGCCACTCACGGCAGACATCACTATGACAACCAAAAAGAAGAAAGTACATCAGTATACTCTCCTACACAGATACAACGGAAGACACTCGTATGTAATGTATGAAAATGATTGTGCACAATATCACAGTTTCAGCCAGATTTAACGAAAAGTCCTACTTCCTCATTATGGTTTCCTGTCTAAGGAAGAGGTACTTGAAAACGATGCCAGAAAAATCCATGGCTGTTAACAGGAATGTAATTTCATGTCAGTAACTACAACTTAGACATATTTTCGTTGGCTAAGTATATCATGAATTTCCACCTCAAGCCCAGTCGAGTAATGTACCTGATATTGCTGGGGTTAGAATACCATCTCCTATAACCATCGACGTTCCCATCAAAACGAACAACAAGAGGATAGTTTTCAAGAGTGATCTCTTTTCTAAAGTTTCTTTTATCCGCAAAGCCCTATTCAATGCTGGAGTGGGCAATTTGAGCTTATAATTTGAGATGTGTTCATCAGCTGGCTGACGATTTGGCAGCATATTAACATTTGCATACCTGCATATCAGTGAGTACAATGCAAATGTTCCTCCTACAATTGGAAACATGAATCGTGTACAGGTTAACAAGTACACACGTGACCATATTACTACCAAGCAACTAAGGACAAAATAATTGTGAAACGAAAAACTGCCTACCTTCTCCATTATCATTGGCCTTGAGAACTACGAAAACATATTTTGCTAAAGGTATAAGCGCAATTGTGTACATCACTAGTGACAAAGCTCCCAAGACATCAACATCTGATTCGATCGGCACCCTGCTGAACACATCAGCAAAGACATATAAAGGGCTCGTTCCCACGTTACCGTAGACCACACCAAGAGTCTGGAATCCTAACAGAAGAGTGCTCCAAACAGAATGATCCTGATTTATTAATTTAAGTTAGTCTTACATGGATAGTATTATAGTAGCATTTTCTAACTCTTTACATTACAGAATTGAGACAAGGTAATTTTGTCAGCAAATATGGAGTAGCAAATCATGATTCTGCTGACATACAACTTCTTAAAGAAGGGGTTCACACGTTGTAACATAAATGCCATATTATAAAGATTATGTTTTTGATGCAAACGATACTCTACTCCAAACTAATCTAAATTGCAAGGACGAGGATTCAAACTCGGGTGCATAGGGAAGCACCTCCGCTCTAGTCGATGCGGCTACACCCACGTCTGCAAAGTAACATACTTCATTCCAAATATACCAAATTATCAATCTTACACCCTTTGATGAATATAAAAGTAAGTAACACATACAAGAAAAACACTAAAAGCACATAAATTTCACTAATTTCACAAAAAATGGAAGAAAAACGAAAGTAATTGTGGTATTACGTGGCCACCAGCACCAGCAATCTCCATGGCTTCCACATCAAGAGAATCAACTCTAATGGGCTTCTTCACAAGCCTCCTCCTGAGAGATCCTCCATACCCTTCTCCACCTTCGCCTCCTCCATTCTCAGAAGGCAACGACCAGGCCGCCGACTCCGAGTCCACCTCGCTCCCATCCACCCACCTCGAGTCACTCCCGACCCCACTCCCACTTCTTCCCGCCAATCTCTCACTCCTCTCCACAATCCCATCTTCTTCTGCCATTTTTGCACAAGTCCTTCAGAACCCACATGCAAAAATCCAATCTTTTTACTCTAGCTTCAGCAATTGGTCAGGAAATTGAATGATTTGTTGTGGGTTATTAGTCGTGCCTGCCGAGGTTTGAGCCTGGCGGATGAGTGAGGAGTGAGGAGTGATGAGTACGGCGACAGCGGGTTCGAGTACCGAAACGTACATCACCAACATGATGACAACAAACCATTCTTTTATCTTGGTTCGGCTTTTCAGCCGAATGAGTAGATGGATTCTAATCTCTATTGGGCCATAATCATGGGTTCACTCGCGTTTTTCATATTTTATAGGTACTATCTTGCTTCTTTTGATCGGATTCTTTGGATGAGAATGTGACGATCTCGAAAATTTTCTAATCATATTTATTCATCGTATATCGTGTAAACGAAAGTGCTACGCGCCTCGATATCAGATAACTCTACACATAAGCCCAATAATGGGCCCGTTGGGCTTGTAATACTCGAAACTCGCAGACAAGGTTGAAAGAGGAAATTCACCATTAAGGTTAAAAGAGGAATGTGCAAGCCGACGAAGAACACGCGGGGAAATAGGCTCTGGTTTCTAGGGTTTATTCGAGCTCTGCGATTCCACGCGCAGAGCACCCAATTCGTTTCCCTGTCGCTCCGATCGATCAACTTTCACAAACTCTAGGGTTTCTTTCAAGGTAATTTTCAACGATATGTCTCCCGCTTTTCGTTTCGCCTATATCATTAAACTTTCCATATGTTCGATTTTTTTTCCTGGAAAGTTGGATTCTTTCTGGAATTTATATGAGAAATCGTTTTTATTGGATTAATTTTGTGCGTTATATATGTATATTTTGTTGGGTTGAAGGTGGTATTGCGACGATGACTCGGGTTTATGTTGGGAATTTGGATCCTCGAGTGAACGAGAGGGATCTGGAAGATGAATTTCGGCTGTTCGGTGTTCTTCGCAAGTATTTTCTGCTGCATTACTCTTGTTTTTCGTTGTCTTAACGACTCGCGATCAATTTTGTAAGGTTCGAAAAGATTTGTGTTGCTAAGGTTTATTTTTATGAAATTGATGACAGTGTATGGGTTGCACGAAGACCGCCGGGATATGCATTTATTGAATTCGACGATCGCAGGGATGCTCTAGACGCGGTTCAAGCTTTGGATGGTTTGCCCAATTATCCCTCTCTAACTGTATTTGTGTGTGTTAATTTGTTTTTAGTTTAACTTTTGCAACTTTAAGTTATGAGTTTGTGTGTCTTATTTATGATCCACATTATCATTTGCATCATCGTAATATCTTCATTTATTCTGGTAAAAGTGCAAGGGTTCGTATGTCCCAATTTTTTGTCTGCAGGTAAAAATGGGTGGCGTGTGGAGCTTTCCCACAATTCTAAGGGTAGTGGAGGCCGTGGTGGTGGACGTGGGCGCGGTGGAGGAGATGACTTAAAGTGTTATGAGTGCGGTGAACCTGGCCATTTTGCTCGAGAATGTCGCATGCGTGTTGGTTCACGAGGAGGGAGTGGTGGAAGGCGCCGAAGTCCATCCCCTCGACGCCGCAGAAGTCCTAGTTATGATGGCTATGGGCGCAGGTGTGATCATCTTTCTTTTTTAACTCAACTGTGTTAAAATTGTGCTTCTGTATTCTGATGACCCGTTGCCTTTCCACTTTATGCTTTTGTTGGTTTCAATGGTTATGAGGATTGCTTGTACCCTGATTCACCGCATCATTCTTGGTATGCGTGTCTCAGCTGACTTAGAATAGAGTTATGGAAAATTCGATACATTGTTCCTGAGTGTTTGTCGACCTGGGAATTCGATACATTGACTGCCTTGTGCTTGCCAAGTTTTTTGATCTGGAACAAAAGATTCCTACTGTTTTTCGACTTGGGAATTGAAAATGTTTTGTTTTGATACAAAAGATTGAAATTGTTACACAAATGATTTCTTTTTTGGCAGGAGTTATAGTCCACGTAGGAGAAGATCACCTCCACGACGCCGTAGTGTCACACCTCCTCGACGTGGACGCAGCTACAGCAGGTCTCCTCCATATCGCCATGCTCGCCGTGCTTCACCTTATGTCAATGGGTAAGTCATGGCTGTACAATGTTTTTACAAAATGGTGAAAGATATAAGCTCAAACAAGTAGAGTGTATTTGGATTGAAACTTGAAAGTGTTAGGGCTTTGTGTGACTTCTTTTCTTGTTGATACAGCTTAGTGCATCTGCTTATTTGTCTCTGCAGGGACTAAGCTGGAATTGGAGCAACTGCTGGATTACTTGAAAGGATGATATCTCTGCTATATTGTAGTTATAATAGGGTTGACAAGAATTATGTTAGTTATGTTGATGTTGTGACACAATGGGTTTTATTAGGAACTTGGATTGGATGGCTTGGACACCAGTTTGCGTCGACTTTCTTGCTTCAGCGTACTAAAAATGAGAGGTTGCTTTCCTACTTTGAAGTTGCCATATTATATATGTTTATATATGGTTTTGTGTGAACTCTTTCTTTGTGGTTGGATTTTCATTGTTTGCAATAGATGTTCCTAAAGTTTGTTTGTTTTGATTTGAGGTGTATTTTCGGCTTAAAACGGCTTCGTTTCGCCACTTACTGCATCTTATAGCTCACGGTTCCTATCTCTGCTCTGCATCCACCAAAGTCTTCTTCTTGTCGTTGCCCCTGCCTATTGTTCAGTGGAAGTGGAATATCCATAACCTTTGGTACTTTGGTTGCACACGACACTTTTTATTGCATTCTTCTACAACAAAGCTTCATGAACACACTTTTTTTATTAGCCGGTTCAAGAAGATGAAGTTGTTTTATCGCCTTCCCCATCTCAGCACTTCTGCAGCACATCTACCTGCACGTTAGTCTCCTTCTTTTTCATTGAGAAATTTGGCTGCATCTGACCATGTTAGAGTGTCATCAACATCATCATCTGCAGTGCTTCTATCATAGTAAGGCCTTATCTTGTTAGTTCTCCACTTGCTGATTGCTGTTTGAAGAAGGTGAAGCTGTTGCCCTGTTGGTGTTCCCCCCTCTCGAGTCTGATTATCGGTCGGTAATTGAAAGTTGAGAGCATCCATGGTAGTAATTTTAGAGTGCAGTTAGTGTGGTTGGTTAATCTACTGAGTTGCTGTGAATTGTGGAGTCCTTCACACCCATCATTCATCACCATCTCAGACTCGTCACTGCAATCGTCTGGTTGTGCTTCGACCGACCACACACGGCTAGGCTATATAGGATACCAAGTATTTTACCATAATATGTCTCATCAGGTAAAGCTGCTTGCCTACTTTGTCAAAGTTGACATGATAAATAGTGTCCTGCATCCATCAAGTCATTGTTTTCCAATTTTATTTTAATTTATTTTGTGTTGGATGACTCTTGTAAATTGATGATCCGGATTGAGATTGAGTGGATAAAAGATCCTGAAAGTTTGAATTTTGGAATCATAAACTGTTTAGATGGGAATTAGTGAAAGAAAACATTGAGATGTTAGTGGATGTTGCAAATGGAAAGAGATCTTCTCCGGATCTCTTCCACCAAGGCCATCAGATCAAGTGATCCGGACCTTTGAAATTTCATCAAACAGTCCAAAATTATTATAGCATTTAAGGGATCAAACAGGTGGGCCGTTGGATGAAATTTCAATGTCCGGATCACTTGATCTGGTGGCTTTGGTGGAAGAGATTCGGAGATGATCTCTTTCTGTTGCAAATAATTACGAATCGAATGTGTATTATATTTTATTATTTTCATGGAATATCCCAAGAAACCACTCTTATCCGGTGCTTGCAATAGAATCAGATCAGCCATCGGAATCGTGCTTCAAAAGCTCCAGTTTCGTAACCCTCACTTTCATCACCTCCTTTCCTCTCCTCTGATTGATGATTGGAGACTTACGCATGATTAGCTTCATACATCGTTGGAGAAGGTTTTGAATTGGGTGGTTTGCACATGTTACTACCATAATTGCAAAATTCGTCAGAGAGACGAATGTTGCCGTACAAGAAGATGGATGCAAAGTAATCGATCCAAATATGCCTTAGGAAGAGGTCATCGTAAATTCTGTCGCAATGATTGAAACTCATAAGTCACACCAAGTAGTAGTGTTACTGTCACGCAAAAAATATTTCTCGCCCCAAAGGGTCTTAGGTTCTCTTGGATTTTGTGTTTGTTTTTCCGAGTTGGTGTCTTTTGCCTTCTTACGTCTTATGTTTGTCTCTGTTCTCCCATTGTCCTCTACTTCTTTGGACATTTCAGTGAATTAAGAGTGCATTAGCAACTTTATTTACATGATCTGCTTTGGATCTTCATCCCAAATTAAGAAAATGAGAAGCAACAGCTAGACTTCTCCCGTTGCAATCGAGAATAAAACTCGATTTTTTATCCTACGTTTTGTATCACAGCACTACCCAAGACTTCCATATATACTGAAGAGGAAGCAGTTCATAGTATCGAAACGGAGGGAATGGAGATCCCAAGATTTTCCGAGATGAAGCTGTGGTTTCGTGACACCATTGGCGTGATCGGATCAGCCGCGAACATCCCATTTCGAAATCCCAGTTTCATAACATTCGTACTGATTACCTCCTTTCCACTATTTTGTATGACTTTAGTACCAAGATTGCCTTCTAGCCAGCCTCCTTTGATCATGGAGGAGGCGGCAATTCAGCTAAGAGTTCTTACTCACCACCCCAAAGGTCACATGATTCAACTTCTGAGAGTGTACCTTTCTGAACTTGTTAGTTTCTTCACTGCACTCACAACTATATATGCTGCTTCAACAGTCTACATTAGTAGTGATAGGTGGAAAGTGAGTCTCCGAGATCTTCTTCGAAACTCAATAACCAAAACAAGGTGGCGCGAGCCCATGTTTACATTCTTGACTGTGTCCCTCTTGTCACACATTTGTTTAAGTTCTGTTTACTATTGGCATCATCACGCGAAGCCATTGCTTTCGTCAAGCTGCTCAAACAGGTTCTTGCAGGCTATAAACATGGTGGTTCCTGTTGTGGCCTTTGATAAATGGGTGGAGTACGGCGCTTGGTGGAATCTGAGTGTTGTGGTTTCCATTTTAGAGAAGGATAACAGAGGTTTCGAAGCCTTTTCAGATGCAGCGGAGTTGAGCGAAGGAAATACAAGAAGAGGGTTCGTTTTGATGCTTTTGTATTGTGTTTGGAGCTCCCGTTTTCCGACCCTCATTGCAAAATGCACTTTTCCAAGTGTAATTGCATATGATGTTCTTGACACAAGCTTCCTGTGCTTGGGGAAGGTTATGAATTGGGTGGTTCTCACGGTTTATTACTACGATTGTAAGAACCGTCACAAAGGGTTGCCATAAATTCCTAGGATTTTAACACTAAGATCTCGTAGAGTAAAATCACTGTGTGGGGAAGATGATAACTGCTTAAATCGATTAATTAGCGAACGTGTACCATTGTCAACTAGAATGTTACTAAAACCTATACCGGTCTACCCTATAACTTGAAGAGGAAGGAGTACCATAATGGCAAGAATTGCCGCAGAGATCGACAAAGATTGCCCTATCTAGAAGAAAATAGAGGATACGAAGTTGTCGATAGAAGAAGATTGATGTAAATTATGTATTTCTCAAAGTAGCTTGTATGATTTACAGTTCTTATGTATTTCAACTTGTCCTGTACTTTGTGGAGACTCCTGTATGCTTTGGTTCTTAATCCCAAATAAGAAAATGGGAGGCGTCAGCCGGCTAGACTTAGTACTGGTTTGGCACTGATGTGCTTTTATAAAAAGTGGGTATAAAAAAAAGCTGAGCTCAAAAAATTGTTTGGTAAACACTTAAAAACAGCTTATTTTCACAGTTTTGGGTAAAAAAAAACTGAAAACGTGAAGCAGCAAAAATGAGCTTCTCACAGCACAGCAATACCAAACCAGCCCTTAAACAGTGTAATCGAAGTAAAACTTAGAACTCCGCATTCTGTTTGGAGCTTCGGTTGCCAACCCTCCTTGCCACTGTGCACAGGGGACAGGACGGCAACACTGTCCTGATCTAACCTTAGAATATAACTAAAATTTGCAGGCGTTTACAAGGGGCTAAGAAAAATGGTGTCATTTCTTTGTCCTCTACTCTGTGGACATTTCAATACTCGAGAATGCTTAAGTTTAATTTACTATATGACGTGCTTTGGCTTATCACCCCGAAAAAGAAGATGAGATGCACCAACTAGACTCGTTCGATTTTGTCGAAAAACTAGTATATATAGAGGATGAAGCAACACAGGATCCACAATCTTCAAACTTTTGTAGTTGTGAAACTGAGGGGATGAAGATCCCGAGATTTTCTGAGGTGATGCAATGGATTCTCGGCACGTTTGGTATCATTGAATCTGCCCTGACAATCCCATTTCGAAATCCCAATTTCATAATCTTGACATTGATTACTTCCCTTCCACTATTTTTTCTGACCTTGATACACCAATTGCCTTATGACTTCCAGCCTAGTTTGATTGTGCACGCAATAAATCTGCGAACGAGTCTTTCTTACCACTCCAACCCTCTGATTTCTGATATTTCATGGGCTCTAGATGTAGCCATTCAAATTCTGCAAGTGTATTTTTTTACCCTCGGAAACTTCCTCATTGTACTCACAACCATCCATGCTGCCTCAACAATCTATGCTAGCAATGAGAGGTCAATGATTGGTCTGCGAAATCTTCTTCGAAGTTCAGTGATGAAAAAAAGGTGGCACGAGCGTATGCTTACATTCTTCTCTATTTCCCTTCTGTGCAATCTTTCTTCGGCTGCTGTTGTCTATTGGCATTACGCAAGGCCGTTATACCCGATAGGCTGCCCTACTAGGTTCTTCCGGCTCTTCCGGAAGATACATTGGATAGTTTACGGCCTGGCCTTTGCGATATGGTTAGATTACAGCGCACGGTGGAACTTAAGCGTTGTTGTTTCCATTTTAGAGGAGAAGGTAGGAGTATTTGAAGCCATTTCAGCCTCATCAGAGCTAACCAAAGGAAACAGACTAAGAGGCTTCTTTCTTATGCTTCTGTTTTCTGTTGCAAAGTTCAATTTGCCAGCCCTCGTTGCTCGGGAATTTACAACTATCTTTGCTTTTTATTTCCTTGACACAATCTTCATGTGCTTGGGGAATGTTATCATTTGGGAGGTTCTCACAGTTTATTACTACGATTGTAAGAACCGTCACCAAAAGGCCGCGGCCGTGACTTCTTTTGATACAGGCAATACTCTACGTTAAACTAAACTTAAGCTAAATTGTTGGGGGAATTTGAAGTCCGCTCGCCATTAGTTTTTTAGATCAAGAAATAAGATCACTGATTCCGAAGTTTGTAATTGCTGCTTTTTCTTCTAGCAATTTCTTAAGAGAAATGCTAGTCTTACCACATCTTTTTTGTACATACATATTTCCCGCACCACACACTCTATGTCTATGCCATCAATTGTCATGGCTCTAAATTTATCCTTTTAAATTCTGAAAGTCTTCCTTTCTACCCTTGTTAACTTCCTCATTGTGCTCACAACCATTGATGCCGCCTCAACAATTTATACTAGTAATGAGAGGACAATGTTCGGTCTGTGAAATCTTCTTCGAAATTCAGTAACCAATAAAAAAAAGGTGGCACGAGCGTATGCTTACATTGATGTCTATTTCACTCTTGTGCTATCTTTCTCTAAGTGCTGTGGAGGGTTACACAAGGCCGTTAGTTCCATCAGGCCACCCAACTGGACCCTCCCAGCTTTCCCTGGCTATATATTGGATAGTTTACAGCTTGGCTATTGCGAAATGTTTGGAGTACATCGCGAGGTGTAACTTAAGCATTGTTGTTTCCATTTTAGAGGAGAAGAGATGATTGTTTGAAGCCATTTCAGCATCATCAGAGTTAAGCAAAGGGAACAGGCTAAAAGGGTTACTTTTGATGCTTCTGTTTTCTCCTTGGAGCTTCAATTTGTCAAGCCTCCTTGCCAGATGGACATATCAGTACTACCACATGTATACCTTCATATGATCTCCTTGACACAAGCTTCTTGTGCTTGGGGAAGATTAGAACTTGGGTGACTCTCACAGTTTACTACTGCGATTTGCAAGAATCATCACAACAATAAGGTCGCTATAAATTCTTAAAAAAGCAATAAGAATCTCTCGTCCAGAAGATTGTGATGCGTAAAACTACACATGTAGTAGTTTCTATTACAAAAAATTCTTCTTCTTGAATGTATGTTTTGTAGATCCTTGTTGGCTATTGCGTCCGAGTTAATTTGAGGATATCAAGGTTAACCTCCATGCTCTTAGGAACCATTCCTTGTAATTATTACTAATTTTATATCTTAATATTTCAATTAAACGCCATCAAGAAAGACTTCATGTGAATTCCTTGACAAAGTCTCTCCATTGTATTTGGATAGAGCTATGAATCGAAAGCATGGAGACAGAAACCAGCCTTATGGCGAAGTAACATAAATCCCTACCAGAAACATAAACTTCGTCATCTTCACGATTCTAACCTCCCTCCCTTTGTTCTGTTTCATGGTCTACTATGAAATTTGTTTCCAAAAATTCCTGGTCAAAATCTTGGAAAATGCAAAGCAACCCCTAGTTTACCGCTACAGCATTTTTCCAGCAGGCCCAGCAAAACTAATATAACCAGTAGACTGAACAAAGAGCTTGTTCATCAGTTGATTCAGCTATGTCTTCTTTATCTGGTGCCTCTCCATCTCCTAGAGGCTAGTTCTTGGAAGCATTATTGCGATCTTTGACTTGGCATCGACTATATACACGGAAGAGACACCAACGATGACTCTCAAGGACATGGTAAATAAACCCTTTTCTAACGTAACGCTCAAAGGCATATCTCTATGTTCTCTTCTTATCAACTTCTACTTTACTTGGACTAATATGTACACCAACAACCTACACTGTTATTTTGAGGAACTTTGTGTGCCATGTATTGTTTGCTGTGCTGTGTTTTCTGGCATTGGTGGCGCTTCAGCACGGTATCTGGCGCTGAGTGCGGTGTGGAACGTGAGTCTTGTGGCTTCGATATTGGATGGGGTTCATGGAACTAAAGCATTAGCTCAGGCTATTTCTTACAGCAGAGGTAACAAGTGGCAGGGGCTTCGTTTGATGCTTGTTTTCTTTGCTTGGGGATTAAGTTTAAGGTTGCCATGTTTGTACTTTGGCATGCATGAAAAGGAGAATGGGATCATTGCACAGATTAGCTTGTTCTGCTTGGGGAATGTGTTGAAGTGTGGGTTGTCTGCATGGTATATTTCTACGATTGCAAGAATCGAGCGTTCGATGAGAACAATGAATGTGTCAAATGTGTTGGTGTAGGAAGAGAAGTGAAAACTCGCAAGCAATACGATAAGCATGTCGAATCTGTTGGCGATGAAGTAGGAAGAGAGGTGGAAGCTGTTGAGGAATGAGCACTACATGCAAGAACTAGAAACTGCAATCAAGACTTTATAGATGCTCCTTTTTCTGCGTTCATTTATGTGAAAACAATGTATTACTTCCAGTAACATTTCTCATCTCGTGAATTTGTGCGTCTTTGTATATACGTGTTACCATAAATCAACTCTATTCTAACCTATAGCGAAGGGGCTTCAAACTTGGGTGCAAGGGCGAGCACACTTTGCCCTAGCCTAACCTTAAAATAGAATTAGAATTGCAAGTGTTTAGAAAAGTTAAAAGTGCTAAAAAAATGGTGTCATTTCTTTGTCCTCTACTCTTCGGACATTACAAAACTCAAGAACGCTTAAGTTTAATTTACCATATGATGTGCTTTGGATTATCACCCCGAAAAATAAGATGAGATGCACCAGCTAGACTTCTACCGTTATTATCGAAATAAAACCGGAAACTTACTGTTTTTATTTTATTTAATACTCATATATATTGAAGAGGAAGCAATACAAGATCCACAAGCCTCAAACTTTGTACTGGTGCAGCTGAGGGAATGGGGAACCCAAGATTTTCTGAGATGAAGCGATGCTTTCTCGGCACCTTTGGTATCATCGAATCCGCCATGAAAATCCCATTTCGAAATCCCAATTTCATAATCTTAACATCGATCACTTCCTTTCCACTATTCAGCCTGACATTGTTACAAAAATTGCCTGTTGACTACCAGCCTAGTTTGATCTATGAGGCAATAGATCTGCTAAGAAGTCTTTCTGACCATGCAATGACTCTAAATGTAACCATTAAAATTATAGAAATCTACCTTTTTAACCTTGTTAACTTCCTCATTGTTCTCACAACCATCCATGCTGCCTCATCAATCTATACTAGCAATGTTAGGTCAGTGACCGGTCTGCAAAATCTTCTTCGAAATTCAGTAACAACAAAAAGGTGGCACGGGTGTATGCTTACTTGGTTCAATATTTCCCTATTGTGCTCTCTTTCTTTAAGTGCTATTCAGTATTGGCATTACGCAAGGCCGTTAGTTCCATCGTGCTGCCCACCTCGGCATTTCCGGCTAGTTCAATCGGGTTGCCCAACTAGGCACTCCCGGCTTTCCGGCCTGGCCATGCATTGGATAGTTTACGGTGTGGCCATTGCGAAATGGTTAGAGCACAGCGTGCGGTGGAACTTAAGCGTTGTTGTTTCCATCTTAGAGGAGAAGAGAGGATTGTTTGAAGCCATTACAGCCTCATCAGAGTTAAGCAAAGGAAAGATGCTAAGAGGGTGGTTGTTTTTTATGCTTCTGTTTTCTGTTGGAAGGTTCAATTTATTAAGGACAAAAGTGTAAATATCTCTTCAAGAGATATATCTTAGAGACTAAGTAATTGTTACAGGTTGTTAGGACAGTTAGTTTTTTTGTTAGACTTGTCTTACATGTATATATACTCAAGGTGTAATATTATTGAGGTTAAGGAAATGAAAATATATTTTTCTAATATGGTATCACCGCCTTTTTTGGTCTAACGACCGCCTCTCCTTTTTCGATCCAAACTCTTCCGCTTCCCGCTTTGATCTTCTTCCCCGATTTTTCTTCTCTCTCTTTTCCCAACTTCAAACCCTAGCCATGGCGACTAGTGCATCTCCGTCCTCTGATGCCGATTCTCATCGCTCTTCCTCCACCTCTTCTGCAATTACATCCATTACGATTCAAAATATTGGATCTCTGGTCCCGATTAAGCTCACTACTACGAATTATCTGACATGGCGTGCTCTTTTTGCTCCGATCTTCCGTCGGTATAATCTCACTGGTTTGATCGATGGATCCATGGCGGCACCACCTCAATTTCTTCCTGATGCCTCCAGAAATTGTACTACGACATTGAATCCGGATTTTGTGACTTGGTTCGAGAATGATCAGAACATTCTCATTTGGTTAAATTCAACACTCTCGGAGTCTCTCATTCCCTACACCGTTGGTGTTACCTCTGCTCGTGAGCTTTGGGCTAAATTGGAATCCCGCCTTGCCACCGCCTCTCAGTCGCATATTCATGAGCTCCGATCTCGCCTTCGCAATCTTTCCAAAGGTGAATCCACGGTTGCTCAGTATCTTCAGAAAATTGAAGAAATTGCTGATGCTCTTGCCAGTGCCGGTGCACCGGTTGATGATTCTGATCTCATCTCTGTCACTCTGCATGGCCTGCCTCCTGAATTTGATTCGTTTGTTGATGCGATACAATTTCTCCTTGGATCTACAACGATTGATGAACTTCATGGCCTCTTGATCAGCAAAGAAATTCAACTCAACAGTCGCAAGCCTTTGTCATCTGCGCCCCCTTTTCAGGCTTTCTCATCCTCCCCTGGTATTCTGCCTACACCGCCTCAAGCATTCACTGCTCAGAATTTTACAAATTCCACAACCATCAGCCGTGGTGTGGATCGAAATTCAAGGAATTACTCCTCCAATCGAGGCAACTTTCGTTCAAACAACAATAACAATCAGCGGCAATTTTCGTATCGCCCAAATCAGAAGCCAACCTATCATAATAATCGTGGAGGTCGTCACAACTTTCAATTTTCTAGCAAGAAAGTTCCTTGTCAAATCTGTCACCAATTTGATCATGAAGCTTGGGACTGTCCTCATCGCATGAATGCACATTATGGTGTGAAATCCTCTTCCTCTGCAATGGTGGCGAACACCTCTACTTCTGCTCCTACTTGGATTGTAGACTCAGGGGCTACATCTCACATGACCAATTCTTATGGCAATCTTCAGAATCCAGAAGCATATACCGGACCTGAACAAGTTTATATTGGCGATGGAAAAGGTTTATCCA